TTACAAAGAAAGTATTTGGCTATTTGCAAGAATGTTGAATGAATAAAAAAACAATCTCTGGTCATAGCATGTGAAAGCATAGGTACGAGAGTCCTATTAACACCTGTACATTAAGCTGTTTCTCTGAATAAAGGAAGTTCATCACTTAGCAATGGCATTAAGAGAAATACACGTAGCCAAATGTAATGAGTTAAATGCTATTACAACTATTAGTAGTATGCAGATTATCACAAGTTTCACCTTACGCCAAACAATTTGATAGTTAATTAGAAATTGATACTTTGTGAAATTGTTACTCAAAAAAAGGATGCTGCTATTATTCATGTCAATAAACTGAAACAAGCATTACTGTAAGAAGAAAAAAAAGTTTCAAATTATCTACCTTGGGAAAACAAATACATGAATTTATATTAAAAAAAAAATAACTGGGAAGTAACACACTGTTGTAAGTTGTATTTTCAATGTTATAATTTAGTTGTCTGCTAGAGGGAGCTACTAATCATGATACTAAAAGTCAATAAAAGAAGTTTTAAAATACCTATAAAGTTCGTGATGATGTAATAATCTAGGAATTTTAAGGAATACTAGAGAAATAAGAGTATATTATAAATATAAGCAAGATTTATTCCATCTATTCAGTCACTCAAAGATTAGTGAGGAAATTCTCTGGATAAGTATATTTGGGAATTAGGTGTCTTACTATTAATAAAGAAAATTTTTGTTAAACATTGTTAGTGTATTATACCTGCAATAGTTACAGTAGTACCTGTTGTCAAGTTCTGTATCTGAAGTTATGGTTACTGTTGAAAGTGGCTACAACAAATATAATATATAAATTTGTTATTGCTACGTGGCCTGGAGCTTGCATTATATTTACCAAGTAATCCAAAAAGAACCCACCAAACAATCAAATGCATTACAACAATACAATGAATTATCTACTAATGGTTATTAGCAAAAAATCAGCATAATAATAATATAGTAAAAATACAACTACCTTTAAACATAAATTTATTATGACCACTAAGATGTCAGCTTTGTGCCCAACACTTCAAGACAGTTCTGATTAAGTTTTAGTTCTATGGATGGGTTAATTACAAAATGTCCTCATGCTAATAACAGGAGGTAAAAATATTGCCAATCGATAAACATACGGCTATGTTCTTTGACATCTTTGGAAGAAAGTTGAAAACTTTTTAAGGTCGAGCCTTTTTTACTGCATCAGTCAAATTACCACAAACACAATGAAGTGTACAGTGCAACTGCAGCCTATTTATACATAATTGATGACAGAGTATGTTTTTATAATATTATTCTATAGGATATAAGGTACAATGTTAAAGAAAATGTATGATTGATATTTAAAAGTTTTAATGCTGTAATAATTTACTGATTTTGGTGGTGTTTATTGAAAATCAGTTGGTACATTTACATTTGTAATTTATCACATGGTTAAAATACTAGCATGAGTGAGTGGATAAACAATACTGCCTTGTAATTTCCTCACAATCAGATAGCTGCAAGTTCAAAACACACCTGTCACAATTTCCACCAGGACACAAGTTTACAAAGTAAAAACTAAGTGTGGTGTTACAAATATAACACATACACAATGTACAAAAAGCAAATTTATAGTTTATTTAACACTAAATAATACAGTTATTAGAGTGTAATACAATGTAAAAACAATTTTACATATTTAATATTACAAAATACACTTACACAATTACAAATTCGAAACACAATTTTAAACAACAAAAAATTAATCTTTATTTAACAATAAAGTAGCCCAAAAGTTAGTGGTAGGTGCTGCTATAACGTAAAAATAAAGAAGTTAATATAATGCTCTCATAGCTGTAACAAGTATGTTTGGTGGATATAGGAATCAAATTCAAAACAAATTCATGTTCATTTTATTTTATTTTCCATGATTTTAAATTTTATTGTTTCTCTAATCATGATTACTAAGTTCACAAATCAGTTTTATGAACTGATTGGCCCTGGCATAGTACATGCACCAACTTTTCATTTCAACAGCAAAACAAAAACCCTAAACCAATATTGGAGAAGGAATACTGACTACAATTCTGAATTTACTAAGTGTATCTAAACAAAATGTAGTAAGCTTTTAGTAAAATGTACAAGTCTGTTATAAACAAAAAAGTCATATTTGTTATAAAAGTATTTGTACTCATGATTTGTTTGTGAATTGACGATGTCAGTCTGACTCGGACTTTGACAAGTTGGAGTGCAAGGTGATGTTCATGTGAAGAATAAAAACACTTCTGTCTATTGTAAAGTTTGCATATTGCACTTACATAACATTTAGAGCCTTTAAAATGCATACCTACAGTTTTTCAGTATCCCTGAACACTGTATCTAGTATTTACTTTTCTCTACCATGCACTGTCACT